GGCAGAAGTGGTGGGTGAAGGCCCTTCACTAACTCTTGTCCGTCTCTCCAGGACTCTGAAGAGCACTAATTTCCTGTTTGGCTTGCATTTTGCCCACTCCCAGGATTCAGATTGATGACAGATGGAGAGCTGCCCCAAGAGGGCCATTTGCAGAGCAAAGCCCTCAGCTCCAGTCTCTGCCATCTCAACAGCCACTGCCTGACAGCCAGGGCTTCTCCTGTACAAGCCGTGTTGGGGGTGCGGTGGCAGGGTGCGGGCTCCAGAGTCGGGCCATGAGGGTCCGATTCCTGGTTTGACTACTTCCTGACTGTGTGACCTCGGGCAAGTTACTTAACCTCTCTGTGCCTGAGTGTCAGAAGTAAAGGAGGCGATTCAGGCACACTGCATAGCAAATGCTCAGCTGAAGTTAACTCTTGGTATAATCCCATCTTGAATTGTTCTAGGACTACCTCACTCCTCTCCACCACCTGCCACTTCCCTGAGAATAGTGGGTGGGTGGGGCCTTGCAGACAGGGAGATGACAGCCTCACTACCTTTATGACCTTTAGGGCCCTGCAGGCTCTCCCTGTTCCAGGTCCCTCCAGCCTCACCTCTTCCTTCTCTCCCCCCTTGCTCACCTTCTGCAGCCACAGTGGCCTTTTATTGCTCAGACACTGTCTTTCCTGCCCCAGGAAAGGGCCTTTGCAGGTGCCGTTCCCTCAGCCTGAAAGTTCTTGGCGCAGCTGGCTCTTCCTCACTGTCCAGGCCTTGGTTTAAATGTGACCATGTGGCCCCCTCAGAGACAGCCCTGACTCCTGATTGCTGACTGTCCTTTCACAGGAAGTGCAGCTGCCAGGCGAGTGGGGCCATGCATGTCTCACTCACTCCATGACACCAGGATAGCAAATGTTGGATAAGCAAATGATGAACAAGCAAAGGAGGACCGAAGAGGTGCTGCCCCGAGTCTCGGTTTCAGGGTCCTGTGGTAGGGTCGAGCCTGGAAGCAGGCGGAGATGGGTTGGAACCCCTTACAACCGTGGCCTTCCCATCTCTGAGCCTCAGTCTCCCCATCTGTAGAACTGATCATGACACCTCCCTTGCCAGGCCATTTCACAAGCGGTGATGCCAGAGCACTTAGCACAACACCCAGGAACAGTGGCCTTGGATTCAGGATGCATTCCTTGAGCAGCCTGGCCTTGGGTCAGGCCCCGTCAAGATGCAAAGCCATCTGGCGGGGGCTCCTGGACACTGCTGTCAATTCCTGGCCCTGGTGAGATTGAGTTTCTCACGTTAGTGACGGGGGGCAGGCAGAGAAGGCAGTTGGGTCCCTAAGGCTGGAGCAAGGAGAGAGGCTGGCCAACCTCTGAGTGCATTTCCTCGGCATTTAGAAGGTAGTAGTAAGGATTAAGGGAGCTAAGGCTTCCAGCTCATAAGGCTTCCTCCACCTCCTCTTCCCTGGAGGAAAACTTCATGCTCTCTTGGCTTTGCCTGGTTCCCCCAGGCTGGGCGTGGAGGCGCCCACATGGGCCTTACATGGGCCTAACCTCAGGACAGCCCGGCTGCAGGGAGTCCACACCCTTGGGCCATTTAGCTCAATCCTCCAAGAGGAAGCTACCCAGGCTCCTCCTCTGCACCGCTGCCTCTGCCCCAGGAAGTCCCCCTGGCTTCCGGCCTGTTATCATTCAGCTGTTTCCCTGGCCAGTCCAGCAGGGCTGATGGCACCATGTCCCCAAGAGCCTCAGCACACGTTCCCAAGGAGACAGCACAAACTTGCAACATTCAGTTGTTTTAAGGGAGACTATTCACAGGAAGGAGGGTGGGAAGGACCTGAGGGTCAGGTGGCAGATGTGATGTTGGTGGAAGGAGCATAGTGCCAGGCCCAGCTGCTCTCTGCCTTTCACAGAGAAAACAGCGTGGACTTCACATTGGCAAACACTTCCACATGGGCTAACATGTGACCCGGCAACAAGCCAGCGCAGCCGGAATTCTTTTCCCCATTTTTACAGATTGAGGGTGGAGAGAGAGAGGTGTGTCTAGGACACCCGACTGGGTGGCCCACTAGTGATTCCAGCAGGAGCTCCCTGAGGTGGGGACGCTGCCTGGCCAGCTCAGAGTGGAGGCCTTGTTCAACCTGTGGGTGCGTTTCAGGCTACATGGCTCCTTGGAAGGCCTGAGTGACCCAAGCTGGCGGGAAGATGGGGGACCAGCCTCCGAGCACAGCCAAGGCCCTATAGGATGAGGTAAGGGAGGGGTGTGGAGAGCTGACAGCATGGTTTAGAGAAGCAGAGGAAGAAAGAGCGAGTGAGCAGGCTGGGACAGAATCCTGGAAGAGGATCCTGGGGAGATAGGGCAGGAGTGGAAACAGGAAGAGCTCAGAGACAGAGGGGAAGTTGAGTCGGGGCTTGGGGTACAGACCACCCTTTTGCCGGACATGGATTTCTCTGCCCACAGGAAAGTTGGTCAAACTGGTGGCCCAGAGTGTGGGGCGGCCAGGTGGCCATTGAAACCTGGAGCCAAGGGCGGCTGGAGCCCGGCCAGCTCTGCTGGACAGAAGCTGCTTCCCGAGGGACAAGAAAGGGGTGGGGTCTGTGTACAGGATGGGATGGGAGGCCCCCGGGAGAGAGAGAAGCCCCAAGGCCGCTCTCAGGGAGCGTCTTCGAACTAGAAAGCGAGAGGCTGTGGGGAGAGCAGTCTCGTGAGAGCACACCTGGCATTTCTCCCACGCCTCTGCCTTCCTCTGAAATTCCTTCACGCTGGACCCAAGCTCTGCTCTGCACGTGGCCTGCACGTGTGCGGAAGCAGTCAGTGGGCTGGAGGAAGCGAGGAGTTTGTACACAGGTCTCAGTCCCCCACGAGAAACCTGCCCTTATGCATCACGGCAAAGGGCAAGTGATCCTGAGGGCAGCTGTTTCCGGGCTCCTGCCACCTCGGCTGCCTTCCTCCGACTGAGGTCCCAGCCGAGTGGGGGACCCAGGGGAAGGGGCGCTTCATCAACAACTTAGAGCACAAGCTCCCTGACAGCTAGAAACTCCCGCGCCGTGCGGTGTGTGCACTCTCTTTTTACCCAGGTACATGGCCCTTCAGGTAGATTTATTTTTATAAAAGATTTGGAGAGTCTGGGAGCTTTGGAAGTGGTGATTCCAGGTTGGGGCAATAGTGTGAGTGAGGACTTTGTGGGTGCACTGACCCCTCATTTTATCTACCCCTTGGCATCTGTCAGTCCCACGGGGCCTCATGCTTCTGACCCTCAGTGAGATAGCACATGGAGAAGTGACAGGAGGTGGCCTGAGACACTGGTCCACACGCCTTGACCCACCCAGCTTACGCAGACAACTGATCCTCAGCCAGGGCTTGCCAACGCTTGGCAAAGCTCTGGCCCAGACCTTTGGCAAGTCCTCGCAGCGCTGGGCCCCGACTTTGCTCATCCATAGTGAGTGATGGGGATTTTCCGGCTGTCACAGGGCTCTGCGGACCAGCTGGGAACCAGCGACCAGCAGCTGCTGCCACCCTTCAAGGGCCTTGCTATCCTCATCGGAGGAGGAGCAGCACCCTGAGTTGCCCCCGGAACCCTTCCCTGCCCTGCTGGGAGCTGTCCCTGCAAGCCGCTCCCTGTGCATGCACTGAGCCATCCTGGACCCCCACCTTCCCTGGGTGCCTGGACCCAGAAGCTAGAGCCCCACCTCTAGCTTCTGGAAGGCCTTCAGCTTCACCTACCCACACGGCCGTTCAGAGGTGGCTAGAAAAAGTCAGCTGTGACTCCTCCGCCATGAGTTGAGGGTGTCCTGAGGAGACACACTTCTCCCGGTGAGCAGCAGGGGTCCTGAGTGCGAGGAGGGCACAGGGACTCCTGTGATGCCCGCCCCCGAGGGTGGCCCAGACCGCCCCAGCAGAAACCACAGGTGTGGTCTGAGGAGCCGGGGCCTAGAGCTCTGTGAGAGCCCACAGGGACCCGGCCCTGAGCTCTGGGAACCACCTTTCTTTCCTCAGGCAGTTCTTCTCCGAGCAGAGCCTGCCGCCCCCCTTTCCCTGAGCCCGCTCCCCGAGGGGTGAGAGGGGGCCTGGGCTTCGCTGTCTTTCCTTAGGCTCCAGAGTTTGGGAGTGGGCTGGGAGTCCTGGGGATGAAGTCCCGTGGGGACATCCAGGCTACCTGGTGATGAGATACATCAGTTGCCAGCACAGCAGGATGAGGAAGAGGCCTGAACAAGGTCGCCTGGGGGGACCCCGGGGCTCCTAAGTCAGACTCAGGTAGCAGAAGACAGCTGGGCTCCTTTAAAGGCGCCTGGGCAGTTTGAGCAGTGGGGACCTGGTGTGAGCCCCTCACAGCTTAGAACAGCAGAGAGTGGAGAAACATTTATCAGGGGATTCGCCTGAGCAGGTGGCCCCCAAAGCTAGCCGTGGCCTTGGGTTTCTCAGGCAGGACTTGGGGGACACCTGGTGCTGGCTGCGGGCTCTGCCCCTCCGTCCACGCCCTCCTCTGCCGGCTCCCTCGTCCCGTGTTTGCCTGTGGTATCCTAGGAACGCGGGCTCCGAGCCTGTGGTCCTGTTACATAACAGCTTCCCTCCCATCCATGGGCTCAGCCCTCCAGCGAGCAGGAGCTGAAGCAGGCGCGTGGAAGAAGCCTGCCCTCCAGGCAGGAGGCTGCCCAAGTCCACAGTCTCTGCCACCCCGACATGCAGAGGGAGGGAACTGCATAGGCAATTGCATCCAGTGCATTCTCTCAGCAGGGCCCTCTGGTCCTGTTCTTGGCCCATGTGAGCCCACACCTGTCAGTGGCCACACACTGGTGGCTTCCGCCAGCTAACAGGCGGAGGGGCAGTCCCCGAGTTGCAGCGGCCCTCCCACTATGTCTCTCTCTGCACCCCAGCCCTTCCTCCTGCTCAGGAAGGGACCGAGGATCAATAGACCCCTGCCGGGGACTCTCGTTAGGTTGGAGATGCCTGTCCTGCCACTGTGTCTGTGGCTGCCCCCCACCCCTTGGGCACCTGGGCGGCCAGCTAATGCCGGCCACCTCCGTTCCTACCTGCCCTCTTCTCTGGCCAAGGCAGAGAGTGCTCCAGCAGGGACTTGAGGACCTCAGGCATGTCCATGGCAGGGGCCACCCCGATCCGGTCGCAGCTCGACATGGCCCGGCAGGAGGAGCTTGCTCTGGGAGTTTAGAAGCAGCTGGAGAGGCAGAAGCTGGCCTGGGAGCCACAGGCTCTGGAGGGGGGCGGGGCGGGAGCCGGAGGCAGCCAATGGGCAGCATGGGCCCTGGCCCGCCCATCCACCCCCCAGATTGGCCATCTGCCAGCCCTGGCTGCAGCCAGGCCTTCCCTTCCCGCTGCCTGGCAAGGCAGCCTGGCCTTGTGCCAGCTGCAACACGTGGAGCCACTGCGCCAATCCTCTGACAGGGAGGCCGTGCTGTTATCTAACTTTGCTAAGGGAAGTTCTCCCCCAGGCTGGGAGCCATGGCCAGGGCCTGCCAGGTGAGAACCGGAAGCCAGCTCCATGCCCACAGCGAGGTGCACCGCACATTCAGGCACACTGGACAGAGGAGCCCTGGTGCAGCGGATAGCAGGGCCTGCCATGGAAACCAGCTCAGCTGGGACGTGAGACTCGGCACTGCAGGCAGCTCATCACAAAGGATAAACTCTGTGTTGGCGCTTACGGGCACGTGAAGGCACATCATGCAGTCACCTGCGCGCTTGCGAGCCTCCCGGGGTTGTTTGTGGGTTTTGAAGCTGACCCACGTGTGCCCTGCTAGGTGCACGGGTGTGCATGTGGCATTGGGGCTTTCTGCCATCTGCAGAGCCTGAAGTCTGTTCTCCTAAGCGAAGTGACAAACCTGCAGCCTGGGGTCCTTTTGGTCTTCCAGAGAGGGAGGAAGAGGCAGGTGCCAGCTGGGAGGGGGCAGCTCTGCCAGACCTGGCTCAGGCTTGTCCTGGATGATGTCCTGCTTCCCAGCCCATCCTAGGAACCTGGGTGACGATGGCTCTTTGCTATAGTCCTCTCCCTGGCCCTCTCACCAGGGTACTGGCCTGTGTGGTCCCCAGGCCACTTGAATGTGTGGCTGAAGCCAAGGTTCTGTATGTCACCTTCCACGGAAGACCCACAGCAGAGTAGGGGTTGTCAGCTGTCAATCATGCCACACACTGATGTGGGATCTTGAACAAGCTGTGCAGATAGTCTGGGTCTCCGGGCCAAAACTACTGGACATTGTGACCAAAACTACTGGACATTGTGACCAAAACTACTGGACATTGTGACCTTCGGCTGGGGCTCTGTCTCTGACACTCCAGTCGGATGCAATAAGCAGTCGCTTCCTTTACTGTAGCTGAGCTCTATGCAGTCCTCCACTGCTCTCCAACATCCCATTTTGCACAGAATCAAACATACTCCAGGAACCTTTCCTGGCCTCTTCCAAACAGCCCTCATCTTACCTTCTAATTACCCTCCCTTCCTTCCTAAGAGCCCTCCCCAAACCATGTTCTTTTCCCAAATGAATGAAAATAAACGTCAATTTTTAAATTTAATAAAACAATATATGGCTCAAAGCTCAAAACTTTTGATCAAGGTATCCTTTAAACATGTCATATCTACCCTGTCCCTCCTCCCCACTCCCCTTCCTCACAACACATTTAATTTTGTGTTTAGCCTTCTAGTGCCCTTTGCCTCTGTGAGCCCAGGGCAAGGACGTGAGGATGCAAGGACATGGTAGCCTGGTGTGCAGGCTGCCTGGACTTGCAGGCTGGGGCTGACTGAGGCTGAGCTGGTACAGTAACCATTCCTTGGCCCAAGAACCCTGTCACGTGCAAGGTAGGCTTGCCACAAAGGTGGAGTGGGTAGGTGCCCACAGAGCGTGATTTCAGAGGCAATAGGACGTATCCTACATGTCTCAAAACACCCACCGGCTGCATGACATTTCATTCTCGGAGATCTGTTCCTGCGAGCTCTCTGCAGACCCCTTCTATGTAGGAATGAGTGCTTACTGCATACCTGGCCCAGCCTCGCTCTTGCGAGGATTTAAAGTCAAATAACAAACACAGCCAGGCAAGTCCCTACCCTTAAGGAATTTTCATGCCACTGAGTCAGTCCACCTGGCACCCCCACTCTGCACCCAGGGTGTCCAGCCAGCAGTATCACCTATGGTCACGCACGGGCCACATCAGCAGGTTGCTGAATCAAGATGCTAGGGATGCCATAGCCTTTTGGTTCAGTGGATAGAGCATCGGCTCACGGACTGAAGGGTCCTGTGTTCAATTCCCAGTCAAGGGTACATACATACCTTGGTTGCAGGTTTGATCCCCAGGCCCAGTTGGGTGTGTGCAGGAGGCAACCAATCGATGTGTCTGTCTCACATCAATGTTTCTCTGTCTCTCCCCCTCCCTTCCACTCTCTAAAAATCAATGGAAAAATATCCTCGGGTAAAGATTAATAACAACAACAAAAAAGATGCTAGAGAGGGCAGAGGTATGGAGAGGGGGGGCCATATACTAGTACAAGCCTGGGGACATTCAGAGGAGCCACATGGCAGGTGTGTTGGGATTGTCTGAACTTTAAAAAAAAATATATATTCTTATTGATTTCAGAGAGGAAGGGAGAGGGAGAGATAGAAACATCAATGATGAGAGAGAATCATTGATCGGCTGCCTCCTGGGGATGGAGCCTGCAACCTGAGCATGTGCCCTTGACTGGAATCAAACCCGGGACCCTCAGCCTGCAGGTTGACGCTCTATCCACTGAGCCAAACCGGCCAGGGCTGTCTGCACTTCTTGGGTTTCCTGGCTCAGAGGTCTTGCTGGGATGGCTCACCTCGTCATGGTATATGTGGATGCAGTTTCTGGCAGAGCTCTCATCTGCACCCCCAAGTCCCTGACAGTCATCTCTCCTCGAAGGCAGTTTCCTCAAAGGCAGGGAGGAGGAGGAGCCTGCACTGGTAGCAGTAGTGGTCACCACAGTCCCTCGTCACAGGACTGAAGACCAGAAACGAGCCTGCATTCAATAACTGGGGGCTGCTCAAGCCAGCTCTGGCACCTTGAAGTGCCAGCCACTGACCATAAATATCTAGGTTACATTGAGGCATGGAGATGCAAATGTGAAATACAATTGAGAGAAAAAAAGAAAGATGCAGAACAGTAAGTGCACACTGATTACAATGATACAATTTTTTAAAGCCTCAATTCTAGTGTCACCTCCTCCAGGAAGCCCTCCCATTTCCCTCAGCCTGGATGAGGTACCTTCCCCAGCACTTGGAGTATCTGTCCCACAACTGAGCCTGTCACATCATCCTACATTCATCCATGCAGGTCTGTCTCCCTAGCAGATGGTGGATTCAGGAAAGCCATGATTCTTCAGTAACCTGCATCCCCAGGATCTGAGATGGGGTGGGTGCTCAGTTCATGCTTACAAACCCGAGCTAAACAAGGACCAGAGGAGAATTTAGGGGAATTTGTGAGAATTTAAGAGCTTAGTCCACTTCCTTATTTTACTCTCTTTGATTTCCTGAGTTCAAGGGAGGTGGTGATGTAGGCCAGGATGGGGCTGCACTTTTCTTCTGGGAGCAGTACCTGGTCACGCCACTTGGGTTTGTCTGTGCGTGGCCAGGGATGCTGAGAACCCCAGATGTCGGAGCGGAAGGGACCTCTGCTGATCGGCCAGTTCCCAGTGGTTCTTGGTCTTTTTGCCACCTCCGTCCTGAAGGTCCTGGAACCTGTGCTGACCGTGCAGGGTTGTTGTGAACAGACCAGCTGCATCCACAGAGCCTGGTGCACGGAAGGTCCTCAGTCAAACTGGCTGCTGCTCTTCCTCTGGTCATTTTTCAAGCATCTTAGCCCCTACTGTATACCAGGCCCAAATGGCTCCCTATTCTCGGAGAAGTTCTAGGTCTTGGACCTCTGCTCCTGGAGCCTCTGTACTGTCGTTTATTTATTTTTAAAAAATATTTTTATTGATTTCAGAGAGGAAGGGAGGGAGAGATAGAAACATCAATGATGAGAGAGAATCACTGATCGGCTGCCTCCTGCACACCCCCTACTGGGGATCAAATCCGCAACCCGGGCATGTGTCCTTGACCAGACTCAAACCTAGGACCGTTCAGTCCGCAGACCAATGCTCACTCCACTGGGCCAAACCAGCTAGGGTTGTACTGTTGTTTCAAGCTGTCTGGTGAGCTTGCGCATGAGCATGTGCAGCCCCGCCCACCAGGTGCCCCCTCCATCACCTGCAACCACACCTAATCCGAGATGTGAAAAAGCACCTCCAGCAGATACAGATGTTCCTCACTGAGAATTCCTGGTCTAACACACACTCTCCTTTTAGAGATGAGGAAGCCCATGTGACTGGGCCCAGAGGAGTCTGGGTTGTGGTCAGGATCATATTCCAAAGCATGACATGACCGCTCACCTTTCTGGAAAAGCCACACCCTGAGAGGGCACAGAGCTAGACCTCTGGACCCCAGGACTGTGCACATGGTGAACGCAGGGAGGCGTGGGTGCTGCTGGACAGCCCGCAGGGAGCGCCACCGCAGGCAGGCTGCAGAAGAGCCAGCAGAGAGTGGCGACTGGGGCCACTTAGGCAGAGCACAGCTTGTCCCCGTCGGCCCAGGCTGCCCGAGCCAGGGTCAGCTGAGTTGCCCTGTTTACACAGGGACAGACCTGCCCTGCACCCCTTGGAATGTCTGGCTGAGGCCTGCCCGGCACCAGCCAGCTCTGCCCAAGGCACAAGTGCCAGGCAGGGAGGAACAGGAGCGACACCTGGGGGACAGAGGTCAAAATGCACACGTTTATTTTCTAGAACAAAGGCTGAAAGGAGCGAGTTTCTTTCATTTTATTTTAAGAAGGACAAAAATCGTTATTAAAACATCTACATTATTATCAAGATACTAGACCTTATGAATATTTAATATTAAAGTGTGGTATTCTTAAAATTTTAATACACATTTTAAAAGGACCATTGGATTGATTCCTGCCCAGCTGAGAAATGCAGCACCCCTGGCTGTCCGGCCCCAAAGGGACACTCCCGTCAAGGGCGCCTGCCCCGTCGCCACGCTGCATGGCCTCTTGTCCCTGCCCGATGGCGGTGGGCACAGGCCCTGGTTCCCCTCTCCGAGCCTCCCAGTCAGGATCACAGCTGAAATAATCGCCCTTATCCTTCCGAGCGCACTCCTGCTTCCCTCCCCACCCCTTCCTGCCTCCTGCGAGGGATCCAGATCGGCCAGGCCAGGCCAGGAAGGCCCGGGTCCGGAGGCCCTGGGACGAAAACAGGTCGAAGAAAAATCTGGACTCTAAGCCTTTTCCCTTGGGGGAGAGAGAAACACCAATCCTCTGCTGTTCCTGCGCACTCCTGCTCTCTCCCAGGAGGGGGCGCTGAAGCTGTCAGCAGAGCTGGGCCCCAGCAAAGCCACCTCTGCCCCTGCTGCCCAGTCAACTCTGGACCTGGCCCTAGTCCCTGAATTCCCCGGAAATGGCCTGAGGACCTTGAACACCTCTCCACATTACACCAGGGTGGCTGCATTTTCTGGCCAAATTCTTTATCTTTAGCCCTCAATAGAAGTGATTCGTTGGATACCACACACGTATATAATATTATATAGAGCGATATATTTAATACCTGTGTATATATGCATCACGGGGGCGACATATATACACACTAAAAACAAGGCTGGTGACAACAGACGGCAACACCACGGACCAGGGAAAACAAGTGTCATGGACATTCATGGCCACGGCCCCCACACTGGGTGTGGTCTCTCCTGCCCTCCAGCCACGCCACCAGCACCCACTCTGCAGTGCTGGCCTGCGGGGGGAGGGGCAGGGGGAGGGAGGGATGCATGCCTCAATTATTGGGGAAAGGGTGGGCAGTGGTGGCAAGAGAAACAGGCCTCTCTGCAGCCCGGATGCCCGTCATCGTATCATCACACGCTGTCAATCCTTGCTTGAGGAGAAGTAAGGGGTGCGCTATACTCTCCGTCTCACCCCCGACCCCAGCCTTGGTCCCTGGTTCCTTCTGGGGGAGCCCCACGTCTGTGCCAATGGTGTGGGGCATTCTGGAATGTCTAGGGAACCAGGGGAGACGGGGCCTGCACACAGGGGGTGGGATGGAGACCAGAGGGTGCACACAGACATTAGGGCTACACGAGGGCAGGAGAGGGGCTTGGTGGGTGGGAGCAGGGGCTGGGGGGTCAGCTGGGGTCCTAGGCAGCTGGCAGAGCCAGGGAGCAGGGAGGGGTCAGGACAGACAGTCATAATTGTACTTCTGGGTCTAAGGGAGAAGGGGGAGAGGACCATGCTGGGTCCCCCAAAAAGAGGGGCTGTGTCTGGTCCCAGAATGGCCCATGATGCCCCAGGGGCATGTCTCCCTTCTCTCAGCATCCCCTCACCTCAGTACCTCATTCCCTGCCCCTCCCACCTGTCCCTGAGTGGTGTGGGAAGAGACCTTTGCTGGACGCTCCCCACAGCCATCCTCAGGAGAGGACTTCCCCTCCTCCGTGCTGACAAGACCAAACCCCTGAGCTTCCTTCCCCAGCACCTGGGTGGCGCTGCCTGGGACCCCAGCTGCACACTGATCCAGAGGCAGTCACATACCTAATGACGGGCCCTGAGTCTCCTGACCAGTTTGCACCCCAGGTCTACCTCATGCCGTGGGATGGAGACCCTGTGTAGATCACTCCTTCCCTTTAGGCTTCAGTTTTCCTATCTGTAGAATGGGGGCTTTGGGCTGGGTCATGACCAAAGGCTCTGAGGATCTACAATCTACATTCAATGGCTCAAGAATGAGAGGGGCTGGGCTGACGGCCTCACTAAAGGGCCAGACCCCAGTCCCTCCCACTCTTCCAACCGGAGGGAAAATTGAGGCCCCAGAGGGGTAAGTGACCAATACCGTGTCCCAGCTCCATTCTGGGGCTGCATCTTAAAGCTAATTGGGGCCTCCTACCCTCTGTTGTGTCCTGATCTGTCTCCAGGGAGGTGGGGGTGGAATGAAGGTGGGTAGAGAGGACCCTCCTGCTGCAGATTCAAGTGGGGACCCCAGGCTCCCCAGCCCTGAGCTTCAGGCCCCCCTCAGGAGCAGACAGAAGTTAAAGCTGTAGCTGAAGCTGGAGGGGTCCAACCAGGGGCGCTGGGGCTGGGGGCAGGGGGCTGCCCAGGGCTCCAGCAGGATGAGGACCCTGGGACCCCTGGAGGCCGCAGCACGTGCACCTGGCTTGCACACTGGGTAGTGGGTGCGGATGGGATGGGGAGGGCTTCCAGGGCCAGGGGCTGCCTGAGGAGGGCGCCCCCCCCCCCCCCCCCCCCAGGCTGCCCCGGCCCTTCCGCCAGGCCCTCTGTTCCCATCCACACCCCTGACCCTAGGACTTCACCCACAAGCCAGACCTGCCTACTCCCCGGGGACCGTGGCCGCAGCAGGGGCTTCGGGGGCGGCACCAGCAGTGCTGTCCTCTTGCAGCAGGAAGTTGTATTTGCCAAAGTCGTCGTCCCGCGGACACAGCAGCATGTCCTTGCGGGCCTTGGCCAGCTTCTGCTTCAGCACCTCGCGCCGGTCCAGCCACTCGTTGAGCTCCTCCTGCCCGTGGGCGCAGCGGCACTTGTCCCCGTCCGGGCAGGCCTTGCCCTTCTGGAGCCTGTTGGCAGCAGGAGGCTCACTGCCCACGCCCTGTGCCCTGTCCACCGCAGGCTGCCGGACCTGGGCCAGCCGCTTAGCCTCCCCCAAGACAGGCTCCACCCCGGGGAGCTTCGGTGCTGCTGCAAGCTGGCACGGCCCAGCCTTTTCAGGGACCCAGGGCTGCGAAGTAGGGTCTGGCCAGGCCCACCCTCCTCACCCCTCCAACCCTGCCCTGCCTGGCACCAGACTCCTCATGTCCAGGAGCAGCTGTTTCTGGACACACCATCCCCTGAGTGCCATCTCCGGACCCAGAAAAGCCAGAGCCAGCCAGGGCCTCCGT